CGGGGCTGGTGGGCACTGAGCGCAGAAGGGGGGCAGCCAGGGCTCCCCCACCCTCCAGCCGATCTCTCCCTCGGTCTTGGTCTCTGCACGAGTGGGGGGATATGGGGGTCTCTCCTCCGAGGGCTGGGGAATGGCAGAGCAAAGGGAAAGGGGTAGAAAGCATCCAGGGCTGGTGTGCCATCCTGCCCAGGGGACCTGCACGAGTCCCCCTGGTTCATTCGCTTCTCCCGCCTGCAGAGAGGGCTGCCCCCCATCCCATCCCCCCAGCTGCTTTGGGGTCTCTGACAGAATCGCAGCAGGAGGATGCCCTGGTGCCTGATGGCAGGGAGAGCACCAGAGACGTGTGACCCTCCCCAGGCAGAGAGCAGGGATAGAGACTAGAGGGGGGCAGGTGTGATGGGTGAGCCCCCAGCTGCGGGGAGCACGGAGGAACAGGGTGAGCTCCTGGCGTGAGTGTGAGTGGAGGCGATGGGGGCTCAGAGCATCAGGGCCTGGGACCAGGGAGGAGCAAGTCTGGGGGAGACGTGGAGGGGAGACCCTTGGAAACCATGGCCGTGGTGTAACAGCCCTGATTCCTCTCTGTGCTTTCTCTGTGACTGTGCTTGCTGGGCTTTTTTTTTTTTTTTTTTTTTTTCTGTCTGTGTTTTTGTCTCCACCCAGGGCAGTGACGGTGACTCAGTGGATAAGAACAAATGCTGCACGCTGTGTAACATGTCCTTTACCTCGGCAGTGGTGGCCGACTCTCATTACCAAGGGAAGATCCATGCCAAAAGGCTAAAACTGTTGCTGGGTGAGCAGCCAGCATTAAAGGCCACAGGTAGGTCCAGAGGCAGCGAGCCGGAGCAGGAGGGTTTGGCGTGGGCTTGCTGTGCTGGGGCGGCACAGCCGTGGCGCCGGCGCGGTGCCTGAGAGCTGAGCGGTGGAGGCCGGCAGAAGCAGCTATCCATTTGTGTTGCCGTCATAACAACCTTTAAAATTTGCTGATGCTCGTTATCGTCGGCTTTGTTCGCACAGATTAGCGGTTTATCAGCCAGGGCTGACCTGTGTACCACAGTCCTATCTCTGGCGCCATGTTTCTGAAATGTTTTGCTGGGTGGAAGGACAATCTCTCCTCTGGGCAGGAATAGCCAAGCCTCGCTTTAATTATCAGAAGTTATACGACAGCTCAGATAATATGTTTAATATAATACAGTTTTACTGTACAGACCAGAATATAACTTGCTTTACCTTAGGGGGAATTCTAGTCTTTGGAAACTGTTGGATCAATTGTCTTTCGATTTTTGCCCAGGTTCAATCCTCCATGGTGATTCCAATAACACAAGACTGTTAACTTTCACATTTTAAAAAGTCGAATGTTAGAATCAGATAATTTAACCATATTACTGTTTGCTTAGCCATAAAGTCCCTGCAAACCGCTAATATGCCATGAAACAAAACTTCCTCCGTGGCAGTTGGGCCAGAGGATGCTCGAACAAAGTATTTGTCGTGCTAACCAGGCAGGAGGAGTGGGCTGTGGTCCTGCAGACAAGGGGTCCAGAGTGCAGAACTGGGGGTCTGGCAGGGAGGTTTTGGCAGGGAGACTATGTTTCTAGCTCACTTTGTGGTACTAGATCAGGTTCTAGCTTGCTTTATGACTCTAGAGACAATTTTTGATATCTTTATGCTTCTAGAGCCCATTCTAGATCACTTCATGCCTCCAGATACCATTCTAGATCACGTTATGCTTCTAGATCCGATTCTAGATCCACTCCTAGACCCCATTTCAAACCACTGTATTCTTCGAGAGCCCACTCCAGATAACTTGACGTTTCTAGATTGGATTCTAGATCTGCATCTAGAGCCCATTCCAGACCTGCTCCCAGAGCCCATTCTGGATCTGTTTCTAGAGCCCATCCTAGACCACTTTTCATGCCTCCAGAGCCCATTCTAGATCTGCTTCTAGAGCCGCCTCTAGAGCACATTCTAGATAACTTTATGCTTCTAGAGCTGCTTCTAGAGCACTTTATGGTTCTAGATGGGTTTCCAGGGTGGCTCAGGGCTCCATTGAGTTCTGAGGGGGGAGGACCTATTTGAGGCAGCTGTTTTGGCCTCTCACGAGGATTTGGAATACTTCCTGATGATGAGAGCAGACTCAATGGGGTTTTTTCCTTTCTTATTTTATTTTTTTGCCTTGCATGCTTTTTTTCTTCTTTGGCTCTTTTGAGTCGGAGGCCGGTAGGATCATCCCATCAATGGCAGCTCTCCCAAGTGTCCAGCACGCTGACTTGCCATTCCTCGGTGGATGTTCTTTTAGCTGAAGGTCCAGAAGGCCAACTGCATCCTGGGCTGCATCAAGAGAATCGTGGCCAGCCAGGTGGAGGGAGGGGGTTCTGCCCCTCTGCTCTGCTCTTGTCAGACCCCACCTGGGGCGCTGCATCCAGGGCTGGGCCCCCAATGCAAGAATGACGTTGGGCTGTTGGAATGGGTCCAGAGGAGGGCCACGGAGATGATCAGAGGGCTGGAGCACCTCCTGGATGAGGCTTTGAGCCACCTGGGCTAGTGGGAGGTGTCCCTGCCCATGGTGGGGGGTGGGACTGGGTGATGGCTAAGGTCCTTTCCCACCCAAACCATTCCATGACTCTCCAGTGCCCCGCTGTCATTGCTCAGTCACTTTCTTGCTCCGTTCCTGGAGAGTGGCAACAATGCAAGCTGGGTGCCATCTAAATACAGCTCTGGGTAAAAGCTTTGCGTGCAAGAAATAAGTCAAACATTAGTTCACTGCCAGAGCGCTAAAGTGTTTCTAACTTTGTGTTTCGCTTCTTGCAGCAAAGTAAGACTTTCTCACTTCCCTCCCACAGCAAAGGGAATGTAAGGCCGACTGTCATGAGCTATTTAGCATTCTGAAATACTTGAAATAGTCAAACCAGCAGCTTTTATGTGTTTGTGTTTTAGATGGAGAAACAGTTTTAACATTTGACGTTTTGTGAGTGTTTATTATTAATTTTCATGTCGCTACTCAGGGAACGATGATGCTTTCTGCTCTCTAGTAGCTATGTAGTGCGTATCAAAATGATAAATCCACGTTTTTGCAGAAGCCAACTCTTATTTATTTTGTCATGTTGTGACAGCCGGGATGTTTCCATTAATTGCTGGGCTGGGTTCAGCACACCTTAGGACTGGGGGTAGTTGCAAATGGAACATGAGGAACGTGGCTTTGCAAAAAAGTGTTGTGTGTGCGAAGGGGAAATCCCTGCGCCGTGGGCAGAGGGTCTGGCGCTGGGTCTGTGCAGGGTCTCTGCCGTGGGGACTGCAACCCCGGGGTGGGGGGAGC